GTGCTGTTTGAGCAATCTAATTATAATGGCTACATCCCCAGAGCTATGCTGATCACGACTAGCTTGATGGGATAAGAGACAAATGCCTGCTTGCAGAGGGAGCAGAAGAGCTGACCGAATTGAAGGGTGTAATGAGTTGTTGCTTGAGGCGTGAGTTGCGGGACCTTGACCGAAATCCTCGTGCCCTCGGGACACAGGCTTTATGCATAGCCTTGTTCGTCTTATCAACCGGTCTACAGCCGAGTCCACTGCATTCGTCTCCTCGAAGGCCTGAGGGCAAGAGTGTGAAACCTAAAACTGGGTGCGCACCTGCGAGGAAAACGTCTTCTCGGCCGCCTTCATCAGGCGGAATGTAGGGTGGGATAGTTGAAGCGAGTTCAACAGTGTCGCAAGGCGACACAGAGATACAGCCAGCTACAGACACTAGTTCTCGTACGTCTGTATCTGTACTTGTGTGTGTTTGTGTCTGTACGTGTGTGTATAAGTATGTGTGTCTATATGTGAGTGGGTGGGAGTGCGAAAATGGTGATGTTTTCTGACCATACAAGTGCCTTCTCCAGTGGCCGAATTCTTAAATTGGATATAAACTGCCTGGCGCGGAGGCTAAAGCAGTAATCTGAGCGCCTGTACGGCTGTTTCGAAATGCTCCACCATCTTGAATTTCCATTGCAACATGACCATCACCATGGAGCTGTATGTGGACAACTATTTGCATTCAGTCTTAATTCTAAGCTTCCAAGGCTGGTATTGGGTCGTTTGTGGAACTCTTCCTCCCCCGCTTGACAAAGCAATGCCAAAGGTCTTGGACACTATCGCATGGTTCTAGAAAGAGTAGTTTCTTATTTAAAAAATTGCATATCGGGCGTATGTCTGTGAAATTCGACTCTGTCAATTTGCCCAGCTCCTCGGTATTCAGCCGAGAGTGAAAATATCGGCGCCAGTGACTGATGCATAAAGGCATTCAGGCATCCACATTGCTTGTCTACTCACTTTACTGTCTTAAACTAAAAAGCTAATTTTCGGGATATTTGTTGACCTTCCTTAGTTTCGATGGTTCCAGCTCGATCTATACTCACGATGATGGCCGGTTTGCCCTAGTCAATTTGACGGCACACTCGCTTTACATTTCTACTTTAAACCCATACATTACACATATCTTTTAGGGCATTTTGTTGTGAATATTCGAGTCTCCTGCAGCCGTTTTTATACACTTCTAACTACCATTTTGTCTCGCATATACACATTATCTCTGCATCTCTTTTGCATGATTATCCAGTTAACTCCTTTCTCTTACTCTCTTTCTCTCTATGCTTTCAGCAAGTCAGAATGCTATTCATGATATCGTTTTGATTTGCGTGACATTGTATTGCCTTTTTCTTACTGGTCCTTTATGCAAAAGTAGTTCTCTACTACTCCAATAGTACCAGCCTTATTAATTTATATTGACACATATATATATATATATATATATAAAGAAAGAGAGAGAGGAAGAAAGAGAGAGACTGATGGGAAAAGAAGACAGAAAGCTATATACACATATATCACTATATACTTTAAAAAATATACACATGCGTGTGTTTATCTGTATAGATTATGTAAAAATAACTTAGACTTATGGTGATACTTCCTTATGGTGAATAGGCATGCATGCTTGCTGCCGGCTTATTAACCCATAATTAATTGAACTAACTAGTGAAGATATATTTGAATGCCAGAAACCTTTTTACTTCCAACTGACTGGGTTGTGAAGATACGAGCCACGATAGCATCTTGGCTATTAATTATTTATTTGGAACTGGCTGGTGTTATTGCTCCAATTTTCCATCAAGTTCTTACCAACTTTCAGCCGATACACCGGAAATGTACATGCTATAATGTATTACTTTATTATTCTAACAGGGATTATAAAAACAATATTATTCAAGTTTGAAGAGCTGTTTGAGATAAAAATATCTCCAGATTAGGTTGAACTAAGATATTGCCAATTGTGATGGAAACAAGATAGAGGCTGGCGTTGCTATCCAGGTGTGATTTACAATTTTCTCTGCTTTAAAGATAGGTCCTATTCATTTCTCGCAAAAAACACTCCATATACCAATGGTTAATGTATTGGAATGTATCTTTTACTCAGAAACTGTGTTCTACGTGTCCTGTAATGTTAACCTGTATGATCTTACTTCGCATTTGTGGACTGACATCATTCTTCCAACAAGGCCAGCTTATGCTATTGAAAGACACGTTAAAAAATGGTAAAAACCAGTTCTAAGGCTTCTAACTCTCACCAACAAAGCTAATTCGTGGCAAAAACTAACATTTAGTTTTGTGTTATCATATAAAGTCAACTTTAATATTTGGTATAGAATGACAAGCTTCTTGGCCGAGATGACGACATATTTAAAAAGTATTAGTTTCCACTTAATCTAATGACCTTTATTACCTCAGCCCTCCAATTACATGTGTTGCTAACACGGGAATTTAAAAGAATCAGGCCTCTCATGTACACCCTGCGTTGTCACCCCATTGTATGGTGGGGTCTCCTATCCTCTGCTTCAACGTTATGAAATCCATTCTTTAATTGAAACTGTAGACAAGTAAGATTCTCTCTCATAATTTTCCGGAAAAGGCAAAGTCCCCATGGGTATAATTCTGGAATCCGAGCATTGTCGGTGTCGCATTAAGTTTTTATCTTGTAAAGTGGGTCTCCTTCCAATTAGGGTTTTATATAATCAGCAAGTCATATTTCCTCTCTCTTTAAAATCTATGTTACTGAATGCACTTGGATTTTGCATCATCATTTCCTTTTTGCACAAAAACATGTTGTAAGGACCATTCGTTGTAGCTAGGCTTCGATCTTATTTCGCCTTGGCAGTCAGTCTGAATCCAGGTCACTTTTTTCCTGGTGTAATACTTCTTTGAAAACGCATGATAAATAAACAGATATGGTCTCGTGGTCATAGTTTACTCAGAATTCACCAGAAGGCACTTTGCTAGACTAGTTTCCATGATTGTGCCAACAACATGATTGTCTGGTCGAATTAAACACAAGCTACTCTCAGGAATCCGATCTTACATGATAGGATTCATCACTAGTACATTTACAGTTAGTGATAGCCATTCTATTCACGATGGATTGAATAAGAGGCTTGATTTTGCACAACGCAAAAGTCTGCAGAAGCGAACTTGCAGTGGACCCTGGATAAGAACGATTTGACTCAATAATGCCTAAGTCTTCACTGAGTTAAGCCTATTCCTTGCAGACGACACCATATTCGTATAAGAGTAGAGTTTCGAGACTACCAGTAAATCAGTGTAATGAGATGTATTCACCCTATTTTGTGTAAGGTGATAATGGACTGGTATTAGAATTTTCCCATAATGATATGAGTTGAGCTGACGTTTTCCATTGAATTTCATATATCCTTGCTTTCCCAAAAGTTGTTCTCATCCAGGCACCAGGAGACTGCAGTTTCGACCTCGCATCGGTCTTATCAACACCCTCAGCGGGAGTCGAACCATGACAGTGCAGGACGAAAGCTTAGCACCTTTTCACCGGAATCGAAGGAGATTGCCTCAGAAACAGCGTCAGCATGAATCTTCCAGTAAAGCCAATCGACAACTAGTCGAGAAGAATCCTTGTCGTCTTCTGGTGGAACCGACCTTAAAAATCTCTTTACCCAACACTTTCACTCGAGTAGAGCTGAAGTTTCCACTGGGTGAATACATTTCATATTACTGGTTTACTGGTAGTCTCGAAACAATAATTAAAAATGCGAAAAATAGGTTTTTAAGTCTGGGCCTATGCTTACGTTGCACGAGCAAATTCAGCCATGTTTCCTTTTTACTTGCCCCTCTTCTTTACGCTCCCTAAAACTCACGATGATGAATGAAGCAGTAATAGCGGCTTACCGGCTGGCTGTCTTGCTGCGTACAGGCTAGTTTCTCTGGACTGCTTCTATTTCGCAATCGTTATACTCTGACGTCCTCTCTTATTTAATCTTTCCCATCCTTTATTACCACATCTTTTGTTTGAGTAAGATGCCTGATGCATATTAATTTTTGTTGGTACACATTGATAACGCCGGAATATGTAGTAGTAATAGTACGTGTCTTGGATGGCGATGAGCTGGCCTGCCTGAGTTCGTCCTCGTTATGACTTTAGTCTGTTGGCCTACTTTGCCTTCTGCTACTTGGAGACGGCACTTTGAATACTCCTTTCTACTCCTACTCCGCCCTACTACTCTGTTCTTCCCTCCCCCTATCCCCTTCAGCCCTCATCCCGAACATGCTTTAGTTCTGTCACTCTAAATAGGAGTTTTATCACTTCTCGTTTTCATTTTTAATCTTGTATCTGTTTAACGTATACCGCAAGGGGTTACGTGACCAAATGTGCTTTCCTTGTGAGGCAATAAAACCCACCTCAGTGAAGATGGATAGGAAAACCCTTGGGGAATGCATTATCCTCTATCTATAGAAAATGAATAACACTTTTTCCTGGTTTTCCATCAAAATCTCCTACTGGCGCAGCTTTCCTCAGACTTTAGAACCCTGGCACCATTACATTGTGTTTATTTTCTGAATGTTTTACCATCAACATTTTTCAAATTCGCTTTCAAATGTCTTCCAGTAACTC